AACCTTCCAGCAGGTTCTGAAGAACCTGTGTGTGAAGAGTTTGTGTCACATTCCTTTTTGTTTTTTTTTTTTTTGGTTTGCTATATTTGAGATTATGTTCACAGTGTGATCTTTCAAACCTTGTGAAGATCACATTTTGTTCACTGCAAGGGCCAGGGACATGTCATTACAGGTGGGAACTTGGGGTGTGAGTGGTCTGTAGTGTATGGGATCTGGTTGCCGTTTTTCCCTTTAAGAGCTCTTTGGGTCAGTTAACGTTTCGCGGAGAAATTGTTTCAATTTTAACACTTTCAAGGCGTAGTGGTTAAGCATTCGGCTGTAAACCAAAAGGGTGGTGGTTCGCACCTGCCAGCCGCTGCACAGGAGAAACATGTGACAGTCTGCTTCTGTAAAGATTTAAGCCTTGGAAACCCCGTGGAGCAGTTCTTCTCTCTCCTTTAGGGTTGCGAGGAGTTGGATTGACTGGACGGCAGTGGGTTTGGCTTTTGGTGGGTTATGAGTGATGTTAAGGTCCCTCGGTGGTGCACATGATTTGTGCTTGACTACTAACCTTAAAGTTGGTGATTTGAACCCACCCAGCGGCTCCATGGAAGAAAGACTTGGCAGTTTGCTTCCACCAAGATTAAAACCTGTTGCAGTTGAGTTGATTCAGACTCATAGCGACCCTATAGGACAGAGTAGAACTGCCCTATAGGGTTTCCAAGGAGCGGCTGGTGGGTTCGAACTGCTGAAGTTTTGGTTAGCAGTCAAGCTCTGAACTACTGCACCATCAGGGCTCCCCATTAAGATTACAGCCAAGAAAACCCTGTGGAGCTTTTTTACTCTGAAACACATGGGGTCACCTTGGAGTCAGAATCAACTTGATGGTAGCGGGTTTTTTTTTTAATGAATGATGTTAGTCCCTGGGTGGTGCACATGGATAAAGTGCTAGACTACTAACCGAAAGATTGGCGATTTGAGGCACCTTGGAAGAAAGGTGTGGTAGTCTATTGCCAAAAAATCAGCAATTGAAAACCCTATGGGGCACAGTTCTACTCTAACACATATGAGGTCTCCATGAGTCAGCACCAATTCAACAGAAATTGGTTTTATGAGTGATGTTTGTATTCTTCAGACCCAGTAATGTTGGAGGCTTGTTTGCAGTTCTCAAGACCCCTTACCCAGTGCTCGTAATCCCTGCCCTAGTCCCAGGGGGAAGGTGGGCCATCTTCTTCATGTCTCATCTCTCAGGGAATGCTCCAGATATGTCCCAAAGCCAGGCATAGAATCTGTGATTTGTCAGAATTCTCACAGCTCTAGGGTTCTTTGAGGCATGGTACCAGACACACAGTTTCATTGGTCAATAGAATGGAATGTTGGGTGGAAGCTCCACTGAGGACGGCCTGGGGCCATCGGGGAGGGGGACTTTTTGTTGAGGAGGAAGTCATCTGCAGAGCATTATCAAACCTTGTCATCCCTTAAAGGACAACGGTTAAATGAGAACATGGTAGCATCAGCTCACAGACGCACAAAGTCATCCATATGAGAAAGTGGAAAAAATGGAGAAGGAGGAAGAGGAGGAGAAGGAGGTGATAAGGGGAGAGAAGAAGGGGCCCTGGAGAGGTGATTCACCTTTTTGGATTTGTGGTTGTGTGCTGTTGAGTTGATTCCAACTCATAGCAACCCTATAGGACAGAGTAGAGCTGCCCCACAGGGTTTCCTAGACTATAATTGTTAGTGGAGCAGATTGCCAGGTCTTTTCTCCTACAGAGCAGCTGGTGAGTTTGAACAACTGACCTTTCTATTAGCAGCCGAGCACTTAACCATGGGCCACCAGGGCTTCTTTGGTTTTGCGGTACCTGATTCTTTTAATTTTTGTCATGTTACTTTCTACTTCCTCTTCCTTCTTGGAGTAATATTTACCACATAAACCTTTTCAAGCCACAAAGTGAATTAAGATTCAGGGTGCTTGAAAAGTTGTAAATGTATTTGGTCTGTTCTGAAGTTAATACAGAGATATGAAATTACTACTATTAGTTGCATATTTGTTAAATCTTTATTCTGGACTCTCCCCTCTGGGGATAAAAATAATGTAAACATTTGCATTCTGGCTTATTTTCATCCTTAATATCTTTGTCATTTAAGATTTTTAAATTAAATATTTATTAAGAACCTGTTGCTTGCATGCCTTTTTGCTACTCAGAATATGACAAAGTTACAAATTAATAAGAAAATTGTCTAGAAAGGTCCTAGGAGAGATCAGCACTCCCATGCCCTTTCCTCCCTTCTGTGTCGGTTACCATGACCTCAGTGAGTCTTCCATCCATCTGGGAATGGGGTAGGTTTCAGGGGTAGGTTTAGCTGACTTGCTAAAGGTAAGAATGGTTCGGCTCAGCAGTAATGCCAGTGGGACTGTGAGCTGGGCCCTGATACATACAGGCAATCGATGTATTATAGCCAGATATGGATTCCTGCAGAGCAGATTCTCTCCATTCTCCATAGCTCTTAGCATGATGACCTGTGTGCCAGGAGATGGAATGTTGAGCATTCCAAAAATACAAAATCTGTGATACCAAGAGGCTCTTCCGACTTTCAATTTGGAGAAAAAGGTCTTTTTCTCTTTGGGTACTTTTCTAGAGGCCAGGGAAGAATCTTTTTACTACTGTCTTAGGCCCTTTTGCTTCAGGACTAGCTCATTTCTCTTCCAGTATCTGGTTTATGAGCTTTTGATTTTGCTTAGTCACTAATCTCTGGATATTGAGGCTAAAATGGAATCGGCCCCCCACTCTACCCCCCTTACTCGAAAAACAAACAAATTAATGTACATCAATAGGGTCAAAAAACAAACAAAAAAACTCAAACCTGTTGCCGTCGAGTCAATTCTGACTCATAGTAACCGTATAGGACGAAGTAGAACTGCCCCATAGGGTTTCCAAGGCTGTAAATCTTTAGAGAAGCAGACTACCACATCTTTCTCCCACGGACCCGCTGCTGGGTTCGAACCACTGACCTTTCGCTTAGCAGCCAAGTGCTTAACCACTGAGCCACCAGGGGTCCCAGATTAATAGGGTCAGGGATCTCAAATTCTAAACTCAGTTCTGCCACTTCTTGTAACCTTGTTTCTTCTTTTTTCGGTATTTATATATGTTTTTTTCTTTCTTGTCTAAACGCACAGTCCAGTATAGTCTAAACACTGTTTGATAGTCACCCAGGGGGAAGCTCTCTAACCCTCTTTTTCATTTCTATATCACATCTCTAACTGAAGTGTGAGAATCCTAGCTGGATCCATTCATTAAGCAACAAGTACTTATTGTGCAACAACTCTGTGCCAAGCTCTGGTGACTTTTCTTTGAACATGACAATGACAGCCTGCCCTGATGGAGACAGACAGGAACCAAGAAAGCAAACAAGATGATTAACAATTATGATAACTATTATGGGTGAAATAAGTCAGGTGATGAGAAACTATTAGTGAGCTGCTGTTCTTAGTAATTTTAATGAGGGTAATCAGAGAGGTCTCTTTGAGGAGGTGGCTTTCTGAGCTGAGCACGGCAGGATGAGAGTGAGTCAACCACAGAAAGAGTTGAGTGAAGAGCATTCTAAGAAGGAGGAAGCAATGCAGAGAGGTGTGGGATGAGTTGGCTGGTTCAAAGAGCACGAGGACAGACCTGTGGCTGAAGTGGAATGAGCAAGGAGGCCGGCAGGTGGGTGGAGATGTAGTCTTAGGCAGGTGGGGCTGGATGGCCTTGGGCTCTGTAGATCACTGGGAGGAGTTTAAGTGCAATGGAAAGCTCTTAAACGAATCTAGGACTGTGGAGGCGTATGAGCTTATTAAGTTAAAAGAAGAGAAAGAAAAGAGTAACTTTGACTGTTGTGTGAAGAATTAATGGAGGGTATCAAGCGTGGGAATAGGGAGACCTGAGGCGGTCCTTGCAGAGATCCTGGTGTCTTCGGTGGTGGTGATCATTGTAGGGATGTAGAGAAGGATGCTTGAAGGACTGGGTTATGGTGTACCCCAAGTACCTGGATGAGGGAGGAGCTTAGGTTTAATTTTTGCAACTGTAAGGGAGTTGTTGTAAGTGTGTGGGTGAGTTTATGAGTGTGGGTGAATATGACTGTGAATTTGTGTGACTTTGTGTGAGTCAGTGTGTATGAATTGAGGGTGTGTGGATTTGTGTGTATGAGTGTGTGTGTGGATAAATATGACTTTGTGTGTGAGATTGTGAGTATATGAGTTAGTATGTGTGAGTGTGGGGTGTATGTTCAGGTTTTTCTCCTGTCGTATCTTTTCAACGGGCCAGTGGCATGAGGAAGGGGCTGTTACATGTGGTACAGATTAAATTGGGGGAAAGGCTGATGAAGGAGGGTAGTAGATTTAGATGTGAAATGAAGGCCCAGAGGATATTAGCTTGGCTAGCCACGGAGAAAGCCAAGACTAAATTGAGCAAGTCCTGTTATTTGTTTTATTCTACATCTGGGATAGATGAGACTGAGGAGTGAAACACAACTCCATTAAAGAAGTCACAGTCTCTTCAAATTTGCTGAATTTGATTACTAGCTGAGTGGTTTACCTGTCTTAATTACCAAGAAAAAAAAATTTTACTTAAATTCACATGGTTGATTTCTCTGAAGGGAATTAATTGTCTTAGCCTGTGAAGTTGAGCAATTTACCTGCAAGCTTTATTCTCCCAACGAACACTGCCTCCCCCCACCACCCCGCCCTCAGGCACAATCTACCTATTGCCATTGAGTGGACTCTGACTCATAGCAACCCTGTAGGACAAAGTAGAACTGCCCCATAGTGTTTCCAAGGCTGTAAATCTTTACAGAAGCATAATGCCATTTCTTTCTCTCGTGGAGTGACTGGTGGGTTCAAACCACCGACCTTTTGGTTAGCAGCTGAGCGCTTAACCACTGCACCACCAGGGCTCCTCCCATGCACAATACACATACTCATTTTCTCTTTTAAATTTAGAGTTCTTAATTTTTGAGAAACTCATTGTATTTTTTATCCCCCCCAGGATATCTTTGAAGATGCTTTGGAAACCATCCCTGTGTAAGTAATAAAGTATTAAAAAGTATATAGCAAAGAAGAATTGATGGTTCTCTTATATAAAATGTAAATATTTCATTCTTTTTTTTTGAGAGTAGTGGCTACTGTCTGAAAAAAATCACTTCTCTGTAATTTAAGAGTTAGGATGTGATTATGATTAAGAAAGGGTTTATCTAAAGTAACTATCAAATATATTTTTGAGTGTTATTTCTTACAACACTAATTAAAGTAAAAGAAAAAAGTTTTACAACAAATTAAATTATTTTTATTTGTTTATAGCTAACCTTTTAATTCTGGTCGTTATTTACATGATTCGCCTCATAGTGTAGATTTTTTGCTTTTGTTTTGCACAAAATTACAAGCATTTCTGATAAGCCTACATAGTTTTTGTAATTGTTTTAGTGATTACATCATATTAGAGCAAGTAGAATGCCATAATTTACTTATCCATTACCTCATTGTTAGACAGTTAAATTGTTACCGGTTTAAAAACTTAAAACTAAGTACCGAATATTTTCACGTGTATAGCTTTGTCATATTTTTGAGTTGTTTCCAAGGGTTAACTTCATAGATGTAGGTTTACTGGATTGAAAGGGACAAATATTTTTATTGCTCTTTATGTGTATCTCAAATTGCCTTCCAAAAAAGTTTTATCAGTTTCCACAGCCAGCAATACCTGTAAGTGAAGTGGTTTTAACTGTAGAATCACCATAACTATTTTCTGAAAAACCATTTTGCTGCTTTAAATAAATATTAAATAACATAATTGTTCTAGTTTTGAGTTTTTCTTTATGAATCATTGTTGCTTGTTTAGTAAATTGCATTTCCTTTTGCTTGTTTTACTTTTTTTCTGAGTGTTTTTATGTATTTAATAGACTTTTAATTATATACACCTTAATCTTTTGTCATATTGCTACAGATTTTCCCCTCCAAACAGCGATTTTTCTGTTAGAGTTTCAAATTTTTATATCGTCCAAAAGTTTTAAATGTTTATGTTGTTGAATATTTATGTGATAAAAAAAAAACCCAGCTTAATTGTTATAATGATTTTTAACCTTTTAATTTTAGCACAGCTTTAGATTTACAGAATTATTGTGAAGAGAGTACAGAGAGTTCCCATATACCCCACACCAAGTTTCCCCTATTATTACTATCTTACATTAATATAGTACATTTGTCACAATTAACAAACCAATGTGGATACATCATTATTAACTAAAGTCATACTCTATTCTGATTTTCTTAGTTTTTACCTCGTCTCCTTTTTCAGTTCCAGGATCCCATCCAGGATCCTACATTACATTCAGTGATCACATCTCCTCAGGGTCCTTTCAGCTGTGACAGTTCTTAGACTTTCCTTATTTTTGATGACCTTGACAGTTTTGGGGAGTACTGGTCAGGTATTTTGTAGAACGTCGCTCTATTTGGATTTGTCTGATGTTTTTCTCATGATTAGACTGAGTTAATGTGTTTTTAGGGTTCCTCGGTGGCACAAATGGTTTGCGCTTGACTGCTAATCTGAAGGTTGGTGATTTGAACCCACCCAGCAGCATTGTGGAAGAAAGGCCTAGTGAACTGCTTCCATAAAGATTACAGCCAAGAAAACCCTATGGAGCAGTTCTCCTCTGTAACACATGGGGTCGCCATGAATTGCAATGTGTTTTTTGGAGGAAGCTCACAGAGGTGAACTGACGTTCTTGCCACAGGATACATGCTTTCAAGGCGACTCATCACTGTTGATGTTAAGCTTTGTCACCTGACTCGAGGTAGTATTTGTCAGGTTTCTTCACTCTAAAGTTAAAGTTACTCTTTTCGTTCCCTCACTTTATATACTGTACTCTCTGGGAGTAAATCTGTTTATGTGAATCTCTAAAAATCACTTTTAAGGTTAATGAGTTATCACCATCCAGAAATCTAGTAACTCTTCAATTCTGTTTGCTGTTGCTGCTCTGTGTTTTGGCAGGAACTGAGTGTGGGCTCTAACAGGAGGCTGCAGTCCAGGACATGGGAAAGATCAGGCTGTGGGGCTAGTAACTGGAGCTCTCCAGTGGAGGCAGTGCTGTTCCCAGGGGGAAGCTAGAAAGCCAAAGACACACACCAGAAGGGGGTTCAGGCCTCTTAGATGGGACAGGTCTGACTGATACAACCAGTGGGACCAATGAACAGCACACGCCATTACTTGTGTTTCCCCGAGCTTTCACTTGGCTGCGTGAGGCTGGCAGTGGCTTTGCCTTTGGGAGATCTTAAAGGCACTGAGCAATTCTAACATCTCTTAGGTTTTTAAAAATCAAATTGTAGGAAAAAAACAAAAACCCTGCACTTACCCCAGCTGAACTTAATTTAGATCCTTATCTCACACCAGCTCTAGTATTGCTAGCCCGCTATTCCAACACCCTTTGCTAAGTCAGTGAAGGCAAGAAGATTTGTGTTTGATGCCTGTTTTACCAAATAATAAATTCATTAAAATAAGTAATTCTGTTTCTGGCCTTTCTACTCTGTTCCTTTGATCTGCATGTCTGTGTTTGTATGAAAACTACTCTTTTTCAGCCATTTTAGATGATATTTGTATAACTGGTTCTTAGAAGAACAACATCCAAAAAGGACCCCTGGGATGGAGGTGTTTTTGATGTGTGACTTTCAGAAACCCTTTGTGTCCTTTTAAAATGTAGACCTCAGAGACCTTGTATATCTTTGCTTCTTTTATTCTACTCTCAACCATGTTACAGTTTTTTCATTCTGAAAACCCTAGTCCTTTAACTCTTCCTCACTTTCTAGTTATCTAGTGTTTTCTTTTTCCCTTCATTGCCTCTCCAGTGTGTTTTTTTGGCTGTATTATTTGCTGTTGCCAGCATTTTCTTTCTTCTTCTAGATTTAACTTCTCTGTCCTACTCAGTTTAGCAAATCCAAAGGTTTACTCATTCTAAAATTTATCTTCTTTTGTAGGTTTCTGTTGTACATTACTTCTTGTGTTCCTTAAGAAGGTCTCTTTCCAGGGTAGCCAACATTTCCCAGGTACCTATTCTTCTCACCTTGGTTGTGACAACGCATTATAATAATGCTTCACCTAATAGAGAACTGTACCTATGTGAAATAGAGCCAAAAGCCAGAAAGGTTAACCAAAGTAGGTATTAAAGTCCATGCTCTAAAAAGCTTACACTTTACTTGTAGTAGAGGCCTTCATTCAGAGTTTATATTAATGAATTAAAAAAAAATATGATTGTGGTAAAATATGTATAAAAAATTTTTTCATTGTAACCATTTTTAAGTGTACAATTCATCACCTCAAATAGAAACTTAGTATCCCTTAAACAATAACTCTCTTCTTCCCTCCCCCTAATTTCTTTCTGTCTATATGCATTTACCCATTCTAAATATTTCATATTTGTCCTTTTGTGTCTGGTTTATTTTACTTAGTATAGTGTTTTCAAGGTTCATCTATGTCATAAAGCATATTAGAATTTAATTGCATTTTATGGATGAATCTATTCCATCATATGTATATACTACATTTCATTTGCCTGTTGATGGACACTTGGGTTGTTTCCACCTTTTGACTGTTGTGAATAAGGCTGCAGTGAACATTGGTGTACAAATATCTGTTTGAACCCTTCTTTGACTTCCTTTGGTTATATACCCAGAAGTGGAATTGCTGGGTCACATGGTAGTTCTGTGTTTAGTTTTTTGAGAAACCACCAAATTCTTTTCCACAGTGGCTGTACCATTTTGCATTCCCATCATCAATGTGCAAGGATTCCAATATCTCTACATCCTCGCCAACCCTTATTTTTGAGCTTTTTGATAATAGCCATCATAGTGGGTGTGATACAATGAATTTTGACCAGACTCTAATGAACTTTGCTTCTTTTTCTCTTGCATAATTTTGTCATAGGAAGGTTCTGGAAGATATTGTGAGGGGGTGGCTTAGATACCAGCTTGCTAATAGTATCAGAAAAGAAGGAATACAGTATTACACTCCGTTCTAGAACTTTAGAGCATAGCAGTGTGGTGTCAGTTTGCTCAGGTGCATATGACAATACGTGCCCTACTGGAGAGACCAGACCACGGACTTGGCAGGCAGACTGGGCTCCAGTCCCAACCTGCACTTTACTGGCTGAGAGGCCTAGGACCAGTTTCTCTGAGCCTAACTTTTCTCATCCTCTCATAGATTTATTGGGAAAATTAAATGAAAATTAAATGTGATAAAGGATCAATATTGCCCCTCAGCCCAGTTGCTGTCAGTCTCTACCGAGAGAATCATGTTCATAATGCTGTTCCTGAAACACTGGAAAAAGTTTAAGCATATTCCATTCAAGGAGGTAGAGACTTGTGTTACGTGTGTTAGGAAAAATTTCAAAATGACTAAAAACATTTTGAAATACCCTTATGAAAGTTAGTTGGCTATGCTTCGTTCACAGGGAAAATCCAGTTGGATGGTTCCCTTTGTTTCCACAACATCGTGTGTGTTGTATTCCTGTATTTATATCTCTTGCATTACTGACCCTTTTTGATTATTAAAAATATCACAGAAGTAACGTTATTCAATATTTTCTTCTAAAAAATTGTGTATGTTTATAAAGACATGTTAATTGTAGAAAACTGTTTTTTATTACTTTTTTGGTGAGCTTTTTGTCTTAATTTCATGGTTTGCCAATGTTTTTCTTCTATTTCCTCTTACATTTGTGATGCTATGACATTCCTTTTGTGATTTAGTAGCTGCCAAATTCAGTTGAGCTCTTTTCCTTAGTCTTATTAAATCATACATTTTGGTTTTATGTGTTTATACCAATAATGCTTCAGTATCCCTGTTTTAGCAAGATATGGTCCTCTTGCAGGCCTGATGATTAATTTCTTTCTGTGAATATTTTCTCTTGAATTTCTAATGAAAAGATGCAAGCTAACAAATGAGCTGAAAGTGAAGAGGACTTGAAGGACTTACTGATGAAGATCAAAGACCACAGCCTTCAGTATGGATTACACCTCAACATAAAGATGACAGAAATCCT